TGGCAGGTGGGCTGAGGGGGCGCTGAGGCCGGGGGCCGGGGTGGGGAAGCCTTGCAGGTGGGGCGGTCTGGGCTGAAGCTGCTGCTGGATGACAAACTGGTGCTGAAGGGGCTTTGTCTGCACCTGCTGCTGCTGCTGCTGCATCAGCGGCTGGGTCTGGACTTGAGAATAGGCTAGAGGAAGCAAACGGAAGAATTCATCACCTTCCCACCAGGACTGCGTGAGAAACTAAGCGTGCTGCCGGCATCCCTCGGTGCACATTCTTATAGGCAGAAGCATGATTTTGTCTACTTCACCGAAAAGAGGGAGAAGGCGAACAAAAAAGAGGATGGAGACGAAGAGGAAGAAGAAAATATTGCAATTGAAGTTTACAATAGGGAATCCATCCCAGTGTCCAATGTTTTCTTCCAGGCTCTTCTAACGGGTTCCCTAAGGCACGACCTCCCACTCCGGGAAAGCGGAACGTTATCCTCCTGATGTTGCATCGTAATTCTTTGGGCCCCCATCAAAATCCCACAGCCATCAGGCTCTCAGGACCACCTCGCCTGCTTCTTTCACCGCCCCACCTTTCCTCTGGCCCTGCCACCTTCAGAAGCACTCACCCGGGGCAATCAGCGGATGAGTGGTAGGGGGGGGGCCCGTCCGGTTGAGGGTGCCGCCTCGTCCATCCAAGGCAGCAGCCGTCCCATTGCTGCTGCTGCTGCCTCCCCCGCCCCCTTCGCCTTTCTTAAGGTGCTCGGAGAGAAGCTCAGACAGGCCTTCCTTGGCCCCCTTGGCCTGGGCAGCGGGCGAGGTGGAGGAGGAGGACGAGGGGACGTGGCTGCTGTTATTCAGAGCAGGTTTGATCGCCAAGGCGGGCGGCTGCTGGCCCGGGGAGTTCCTCACAGCCTGCTGAGCGCGGAGGGCCGAGTTCTGCCCCTGCAGGAGAAGATGGAAGACCGGAGGGTCTGAGCGCTGGGAGAAGCCTTCTGCTGCTCGCTTTGGGTGCGGCCACAACTCAGCAGCCCCGTCCTTCGCTGCCACCAATCCCGGTCCTCAGCTGCAGCTTTTGCGGGCCCCTCCCTGGATGCTCGGAGGCCTCCACACCAGGATCCAGAGGAGAGGACCGCAGGCCCCCCGCCCTTGCACCCCTCCACCCCCCGAAAGCATTTCCCCGTTGTTTTTCAGCAGAAACAGAACAGAAGCCGCAAAAGGCAGAGTCCCTAGAAACCGCTGCCCCTCTGCATGAGTGCCTGGTCCAGATGGTTTCTTTTCCAAGCCAGAGACCTCTCTAGAACGGTTGGCCCTGCAGAGAGGTGGCCCCAAACCTCAGAGGAGGACAGACTGCGCGTGCTACAGAATCTGAATTGGGAGGGAGGAGACGTAGCCACAAGGCATGGAGTCCGGGGGTTGTCGGACGCACTTTTCTATGCAAGAGGCGCACAGCGCATGTCCAGTGCTGTGGAAAGCCCACAAAAGGGCCACTTTCAGCGCCTGATATCATGGGCTGGATTTTAGTTAACCGTTAGGAAAAGCCAGCGCTGCCGCGAAAACATCTACAGTGACGTCGTAAGGAGCCCTCCCTACGCGGGTTTTCGTTTCCTCTGGGGAGGGCAGCCCTGGCCCCTGTTCCCCGGCCCCCACCAACGCACCCTCCCCTTACCTGAGGTGCGGTGGTGGTGGGCGGCTGCATGACGCTGCTGGCCCCCTCGGGCTGAACCGCGGCGACCGTGGGCGTGAAGATGAGCTGAGGGGACAAAGGAACAGCACGCCCTAGGCTCCTAGCTACTTGCATTAAACTGCTCTGCTGGGCCTGAAAATCACAGGAAAGGGGTCCCCTTGTACATCACCCCGTTGCCGGTCCCAGACAAGCAACCCCAGCAGAGGAAGGAGCCGGGGCAAAGTCTAGCCGGGGCCCAGGACACCTCCTGGCAGGCAGAGGCAGCAGGCAGGGAAGGGGGACGCACTTTGCCCTCGGATACACGAGGAGGCTACCCACGTCCTCATTTCAGAGGCGGCCAACTTGCCCCGAAAGCAAGCCAGAGAACGGATTTTTTAAGTGTGGGGAGGGCGTGGGCAGCATTGGCAGCACCACGGGGAGTGGCCGCAGCCGTCCTCGGCGAGAACGCTTCCCCTCTCTGGAGAAGTCCAAAGCTGTGAGCGAAAAAGCAATCGGGCCAAACGGGGTGGATGTTCAGCAGCCTGAAGGAATCAGGAACTGGTCTCGTCCACTCGAATCAGGACCAGCGGGGTCGGATTGACCAGCTTGGAGGACTCTGTGGGCCAGCAATGCCCACCCCATCCCGTTCCTCTCCCCACGGCGTCGAAGCCGCAGAATCGACAGGCTCGTCTGCAACAGGCGGACGAGCAGGCTAGGAGAGGCGACGCTGTTTTGCGCCCGGCCCAGGTGCAGACGCTGGACTTTCCCCTGCAACGGCAGGGCCCGTCCCCTCCTCTGGCCAAACTGGGCCCCGCAACCCCCCAGCGCCACCTCTGCGGCCTGACAAAGCACCACGACGGCCCAACCACTTACCATCTGTGCACGGAGATACATTTGCGCCTGGCTGGCGCTCAGGGTGGGGTTGCTGGTGTTGCCCAAAAGGACGGCTTGCTGGGCAATGCCCGAGGCAGTGGCGGCTGCGGAATTCACACTCTGGGCCCGGTTAATGAGCTGGGCTGCCGCTGGGGAGGCGGCCAAGTTTATCTGGAGCAAGAGGTGAGCGGACGAGTGAGGAGAAGCCCAGATCCACTCTGGAAAGAGACTCCCGCCCACTAGAGAGAACCGAGGCAGCCCCATAGAGCCCTCCGGCCTTACCGTGGGCTGCTGCGGGGGGGTCTGGGCGGCCCCGTTGGAACTGGAGGAGACGCCCTGTCGATTGGCTGCCAAGCTTGCCTGGAAACAGGAATAGGAAATTATTGCCAGACAGGTCGGAAAGGAGACCCTTCTCCATCACCGAGACGTCTCTTCCTCCTGATCGCAGACGGGGATATTCCGCATTAGCAGGGAGACAGTCTCCTTTCTCTGCTTCTAACGTCGTCTGCTGGTGCCGAGGGCTGCCAGAGACGCCCTCAAAGCGGCCCGGGCTGCTTTATTTTCTGACCTTCTTTATACGTAATAGGCCTGGCCCCTGTTTAGCAACCAATTTTCTTCCTTTTTTGGGCCAACCTGTGTCGCTGCATTTTCCTGAGCTGTAAAAACCAGGTTGGGAAGCAAAAGTGTCTGCAAGACTTTCCACTTCCGTTGGCACCACAAAGTCGCACCACAAAGTCTGCTCCTTTTGTACAGGCATGCAGTGTGAGGGTGCGCATCACGGGGGCTCAACTTTGCTTTCAGCACCTGCCCCTGCTTGCCCCCCCATGGGCACTGATGGAGGGAAAGCTGAAAGCTTGTAGTCAATGCAAGCCACAATGACATCATCATGCAGCTGGCCCAAATTACACAAGTCACGTCCTTTGCACAAGGATGTCATTCCGTGCTTGTACGGGCTCATCCGGACAAGATGACATTATTAGTTTTGTTCTCTTTTTGCCCCAAAGACAGGAGATGTAGAGATTATTTCAAATGACTCTCTAAAAATCATCTTTTCTCAAAGCATTCTGCTTCTAAAGGCATTTAGAGACTATCTTGGGGAAAGTATGAAGGAACCATTAAGAATCTTCCCCATTAAGAGAAGCAGTTACACCGTCCTGAGAAAGAGGAGAGGGTGGGAAAGAAACTCAAGATAAGCCTTCCTTGATTTTGCTGGGTATAAGATGGAGTAGAGAGAAACTCAAGCTTCTGTTATGATACCCTACTACAATAAAGTAGCATACCTGGAATTCTGAAAAAAGCTGGTCTACCCGACAGGGTTGAAAGGACTGTCGAAAATGAACACCTCCTTTGCCATCGAGAGGGTGGCACAACAGAAAGCCAAACCTTTTCTGGCAGGCACCCACTTCTCCCCACTCTCCTGCCACCCTACAGGCCTGGTCGCTGCCTCCCGGCAGCATCTCCCTGGAGTCACAGACCTGCTGGATGGCAGCCAAGCTTTGGAGCTGGGTGCTCCCCAGGTGCTGCTGCTGGAGGGCGGCGGTCTGGAGCATCAGATGCTGCTGCTGGGCGGCGTACATCTGCTGCAGGTATTGGGCGGCTGTGTTCGGCTGCCGGTGCAAAGCTTGCTGGATCACCTGCCGAGAAGGGGAGGTGGGTTTGCAAGACAAGGAAGAGAAGACCACCTCCGCTAGAAGGCCCCTCCAGACAGGAGAAGGGACTTGCAAGAGCTGGACCCCAACACAGACATTCCCACCCTCTCCTAAGGGCTTGTATAAAAGAAAGGAAGCAACACAAACTTGCCATTCCAAATGCCATTCCCAGCTTGCACGCCTTACCTAAAACCTATTGCAACTATTCCAGGGGACATATATGGTGACTTGATGGTTCTGATGGGTTGGCTGCCTCGTTTAGTGACCATTCAAAGATACGACGGTGCCGAAAAAGCAACTTTATGACCAGTCCTAGCATGTACAACCCACACAGCAGCCCCACAGTCACATGATCAACATTTGGGCACTTTGCAATCAGGCATTTATGACCATCGCAGCGCCCCAGGGTCACACGACCACCATTGGTGGGCTTTGCAACTGGCTTGCATCAAGCGAGTCAGTGGAGAAGCCGGCAGCAAAATCAGAAGTTGCGGTCACATGAGGTCTCGTGTAACGGCCGAATGGGAAGTGATGTTGTAAGTCTGTCGCGGTCACGTGATGTTCCGCTTAGTGACCGCAGTGCTTAGCGACGGAGTTGTCAGTGGTTGCTAAGCGAGGACTACCTGTACTTTGTTTTGCTGAGGCAAAGTGACAGAGGAACAATTGGAAGCGGTTCAGAGTTGGCAGCGATTGGGGTGGCCAATGAAATAAAATGAAATAAAATAAACCAGGACGCCATGATTTTGCATCTATCTATCACCAGGGTTTGTGAGTGCAGCTGACATCGATCAACACCACCCAAGATCCTTAGCCAGCTCAGCTAAAGACCGAGGAGACAGATTCATGCAACAAGCTAAACTTGGCTGATGTGAACTTTGGTTGGTGTTCTGAAAATGTTGCATCTCCTGCCCGCGGTTCATTTATGATTTGGTGGCTGGGGGTCCCGGGACATGAAGTCCCAGGCATCTGAAAGACCCTGGATTGGGGGAGCTGTGGCCTCAGAGAGGTTGAGCCACACTGGTCCACCACCCTAATCTCACGCACTCCTGCTGGGCCACAGCTGTGTAAACCAGGGTCTGCGAAACAAGGCTCCCGGACAACCCATTCAGTTGCAAACAACGGTTTGCAAACGGCAAATGGTAAACAACGGTTACCTTCCTCTTTCCCCAGCCCCTCCAAGTAAAGATTTGGGGGGCAAACCTTGCATTAGCACAAGCACTCCTCTCTCTGTCTTTTCGGCCACAAATCTTTTGAAACCTTGTGCATTTTGGGAACACGCTGACAAGCCCAGATAAAATCCAGGGCATTGCAGGAGAAACGGGAGTTCATGCAAGAGCTCCTATCTAAACCTCTTACAGCTTCCTCGCCCCCCCATCCAAAATGCAGGGGGGGGAGAGGAGGAGGGTCAGATCAAAGGTTAACCAGCTTCAATAAGGGTCTTAATTCTTTGACCTTGTAGGGAATTTCCAAGCCGTCCTGGGAGCTATCAAAGGGGGTCATCAATCATCTTCGCCCTCTGCCGACGTTCTCACATGCGCCAAGGGGATCAAAAAAAATATATCTGGTTCATTCCCTTGCGCCTCCCTTCAGCTAGCGGGCAAGGCTACTTAAAGAACATTGTGCGTTTCGTTTCACTCACGTTGCGCTGAGCGGCGTACAATTTTTCAGGGACGGGCCCCGATTCCAACTGAACCTCCCTTCCGCCTCTTTGTCGTAAGAAACCCTCGTGGTTTTTTTTTACTTTTTTTTCCCTGGGCAAAACAGATCACGCTTGCAGGGTTTGGGGAACCAAAAAACCCACATGGTCGCACACAGAATAAACAACTTGCAAAACTGCGCTGCTTATAGTAATATAATTCTAAGTATCATTAGAACTGTAACCAGCATTCCAGGTGAGCAAACCCCCAAAGGCAGGAGCAGCTAACTTATAAGCTGCATAGGGCCACGTGTCTTGTTGGAACTTGGGTTTCTGGTCCAAGTTACGTCCGTGGCCACGCTCGCATGCATTTTCCGGATTTGCACAATCCACCAAAACATGAACCAACCTAATTACATCACTAAGGGTGTGGTGCAAATGCCACAAACTCAGCCAACCTACAGCCACCAGCTATTAAAACGCAGAGATCAAACCCACCTGCCAACTTTATGAAGCCACTCCGTGATCTGGAGATCCCCTGGAACTACCGGCCACCAGAAGCCTCCACTGACTCAAGGTGTTGCTCCTTTTCCAGGCTTATTTGCACTATTTCAAAGTCCACTAATGGCTACAAGGGAGCCATTGGGGCACTCTATGGCTCATTCCAAGTGGAGGAAAGTTTCTCTGGCGGTCCCACGATCCATGCCCCCTTCCAGACAGTGTGGCGTTCGGAGCCCGGCGGGACCAAGTAACAGGAGGATTCAGCTCGCCTTCCCCAAAATTGCACTCTTGGGATTCCTTGAACATCGACTCCCAGAACTCCAGTTGCAGAGTTGTGACTTCAGGGAGTCTTCCGTCCCCGTCCCCGAAAAAGCAGGGAGCTTGGAGACGCAGTCACGAACCGTCCAGCGGCTGTCAACATACACGCGCAAGACCTTCCTCAGCTAGAAACCACGCTTGGGGGATACGTGGCCAGATCAGGGAAAGACTACGCGCTGCTTTTGAGCCCGCACTAAGCCTGGTTAGCATTAACTTTGGTTTGGCTTGTGTGCACATAAGCATGTGCGTGTGAGCGTGCATGCACGTGTACGTGGCCGAGCGTGCAGGGCAAACACAGCCTGTTTCGTGAGTTGAGGTGTTGTGCACGCCCAGAATGTGGGTGAGTTCAGCAAGGGAGGGAGAGGGACTCGTTCCCCAACAAAAGGCCACCTTGAAAGCAAACCGCCATGCGCCACATTAAACCCAAACCGGGGTGGGGGGGATCTCTGCAAAGCGTCGCGCAGACGCTGGAGATTCCAGGACCTTCCACCCAGGGGGACGAGCGCAACCCAGGCAGCGTCCCCCAGTAAGAAAAACACCACACAATGGGGTTCACAAACACCGCCAAGAGACAATGCCGTTCCCGCGCGGCGGTTTTATCCCCTAGAGAGACCCCCCACACACAGAGGGTGGGTTTCCTTGGCCAAAGGCTGAAGAAGCTGCAGGATAAAAAAACGGGCTACCTACGCTCTCGTCCCTCGCCACAGCTCCGCGGCGGCCCTCCGTGCAGGACAATGATGGGGATTCGCTGGCCGCAAACCGCCCGGCAGGAT